ATTTTGGAGTCATCTGTATCATTACTCATACAAGTTTCAATCTCTTTAATTTCTAAAACATATCCCATAGTATAGATATACCTTACCTGTGTATTCATTCTCCTGTTGATGGATATTTGGGTTAATTACCCATTTTGGCTATAAGGATTAAGACCACTGTAAAGTTTTTGTACTTTTTTGTAGTTGTATTTTTCTATTCTGTTAATCAGAGTGGAAATGCTGGGTTGCATAATAAGTACATGTTTAACTTCATAAGAATTGACCTGGGGGCCGGCGCCGTGGCTCGTTTGGTTGATCCTCTGCTTGCAGCGCCAGCATCCCATATGGGCACTGGGTTCTAGTCCCGGTTGCTCCTCTTCCAGTCCAGCTCTCTGCTGTGGCCAGGGAGGGCAGTGGAGGATGGCCTAAGTGCTTGGGCCCTGCACCTGCATGGGAGACCAGGAGGAAGCACCTGGCTCCTGGCTTCGGATTGGTGCAGTGCCGGCTCTAGCGGCCATTTGGGGAGTGAACCAATGGAAGGAAGACCTTTCTCTCTCTCTCTCTCTCTCTCTCACTGTCTATAACTCTACCTGTCAAAAAAAAAAAAATGACCAAAATGTTTTCCATGGTGATTGTATGATTTTACAGTCCCAATAAAAGTGTATAATGCAGCCCTTCATAGTAGGGACTCTGAGAGAGCCTAATCCACTAAAGTATCCATTGTATGTAATAAATTGCCAATTACCATCTCTCTGTGATTCTAGATTTCTGGTACTAGCTTTGTACTCTTCTTAAGGTAACTGAGAAAATGGTCTCTCACATACTATATATATATATATATATATATATATATATATATTTAATTAATTAATTTGAAAGCCGAGTTACACAGAAAGAAAAGGAGAGAGAGAGAAAGAGAAAGAGAGAGAGAGAGAGAGGTCTTCCATCTGCTGGTTCACTCCCCAGTTGGCCTCAACGGCCAGAGCTGTGCTGATCTGGAGCCAGGATCCAGGAACTTCCTCCAGGTCTTCCATGCGGGTACAGAGGCCCAGGACTTGGGCCATCTTCCACTGCTTTCCCAAGCCATAGCAGAGAGCTGGATCGGAAGTGAAGTGGAGCAGCTGGGACTCAAACTGGCTCCCATATGGGATGTCAGCACTCAGGTGGCGGCTTTACCCGATAAACCACAGCACCGGCCCCCACATACTATATATTATCTAGTTCTTAAGTCTGTTACAGAACCCAACTTGAGATAGGTTGTGTGTTTCATTTGCCTCACATCCTTGCCAACATTAGCTGTTGTCATTCTCTGATTCTACCCCATTCTATTTGATATCAAGTGTTATTTCTTTGTGGTTTTAATCTGTATTTTATTGATTGCGAATGTTTGGTGCCTTTTGGTGTGCCATTTGTATGTCTTTTGTGAACTTTATGTTCAATTATTCTGTGATTTTTTGTTTGCTTATCTTTTATTTGTAGAAATTATTGTAGATAGGAGCCCTTTTTCTGAAACATGTGTTATCAGTTTTTTCCCAGTCTGTGGCTTGCTTTATGTTTTTGATTGTCTTGTTTTTTTTTAATGAGAGTTTTTAGTTCTGATAAGGTGTTTTTAATGTCTTTTTAAATAGTTTGTAATTTTTACTATCTTGGAAAGTCTTTGCTGATGCTGTTTTTTGAAATATTACATATTTTCCAGAGGCTTAAAATTTCTAGAGGCTACTGTAGGTTATGATACTTCTTGAATTATTTTTGATTTGAGGTATGATAGGGGCCATGGTTCATTTTTTTCTGTATGAATATTTAGTTTTTCCATGAACATTTATTTGAAAGATTTTCTTTTCCCTATTGAATAGATACCTTTCACACCTTTCTTGAAAATGAATAAATTTAATAAGTTTGACTTTATTTATAGTCTGTTTCTATTGATCTATTTCTCTGTTTTTATACAGTACCACAATATATCTTGATTACTGTAGCTTTATAATGAATCTTGCATTTATTTTATCTTCGTTATCTTTAACCAGCTTTATTGGTGTGTGATTTACATACAATACTATATTGCCATTTTAAGAGAATAGTGCAGTGATTTCTGACAAATGTTTACACCCAAGTAGCTACTGCCACAATTAAGGTAGGACATTCCCAGCACTCCACAGGGCTCCCTAGTGCCCTTTTACTGATTGGCATTCCCTAGTTCCAACCAACTACTGATCTGCTTTCTGTCACTGTAGTGACAAACACCTGCTACCTGGGCTACACAAAGATACTGGTTGTAAGCCCAAACATGAGCATGGAAAAGAGCTTCCCCTTTGGGATTTGGTGAAAGCAATTTATAAATACGTCTTGGAGGATGTTTTACATCTGTTTTCTGACATTAGAGTCGCAAGTTTCTGCAAGAGAAGCTACCAGAAACTATTTCTAAAGTTTCTCTTTCTTGAATGCCTGTTTTAGGATTTAGTTACTGATTTTTGGACAGGAAGCAGGATTTATTGGGTGACATGGTTAAGGAGGGGACAGCACAGTGTAAGCCCTCATCAGTGCAGAAGCCATAACTTGCCAAAGGGACCGTGACTGAGGATGTATTTGAACCTGCAGCCATCGGGAGCCACTTTTCAGCCACAGTGTCTCCAAATCCACCCTAATTAATGTTGGTAAAGCCCCACTTCTTTGAGATGTGGATCTTCTGGTAGCCTGGACACTTGAACTTGCTCCTGCACAAGGCTTCAGTTGTATGTTCCTTGATCTGCAGCTTAGTTTGGATGAACATAATGACTTAGCCAATGTGAGCTCTGGCCACCATGCCCTGGGGCTTTCTAAAAGCTCCCCACAAACCTATGTAGAACCTAGATTGGAGGCAGCACAAGGCAAGACTCATGAAGGTTCATTGAAAGGGGCTGTCTCCAAGGGTTCTAAACTTAGGGTAGCAAGTACAAGCAACAGGCTTCATACACTTACGACAAGGTTGCTCTTTACAGCCACTGCACACTAGGCCTCTGCATGGAAAGGAGCCTGTTCCGCTTCCTTGGCTGCAGAAGTCATTTTTTAAATCAATGATTTAATGAACTGATTTAATGACTTCTGATAATGCATATAGTTTTCCATTTTCTTTTTTTCTTATTAAGTGGTTCTGCAGTGTTCTTCAGGGATCTTATTGTTGTTTTGGAAAATACTGGTAATGCAGTTTAACAGCACAAGAGTAGCCACAGTGTATACCAAAAGGTTTTGCCAATGTATATGGATAGAACAGTCCTGAGGAGGCAGTGACCCAGATGCCATAAAACCACAATGACTTTTACCTCATGTAACACCTTCTCTGTTACAAGTTTTTCACCTTTTGCCCTCCTGGGTGAAGTGATGTTAGGAGGCATACCTTAACAACTTTGGCTGCATAATGGAATCAAACAAGGGGCTTAAAAAACAACAACAACAACAACAAACAAACAAAAAAACACTGATGCCTAATTCCTGCTCCCAGAGAATTTGATTTAATTGGTTTAGTTGTACATGGATCTAAACATTTTTTTAAATGATTATTTATTTGAAAAGCAGAGTGACAGAGGGAGAGACAGAGAAGTTACTTTCCATCCTCTGGTTCACTCCCCAGATAGCCAAAGCCAGGAGCCAGGAATTCCACCTGGGTCTCACCTGTGCAGGGTCAGGAAACCAAGTACTTGGGCTCTATCTGTGGCCTCCCAGGAACATCAGCAGTAGCTAGATCTGAAGTGCAGAGTAGCCGGGACTAAAACCAGTCACTCTGATTTGGATTTGGGTATCCCACGCAGCTGCTTAACCTGCTGCACAGCAAGACCTGTCTCAGATTTGGAAATTTGTTTTCAGTATTTTAAATTATTTGCTAATTCATAGGAAGTCACAGAAGTATGCAAAGAAGTCCATGTACCTTTTACCCCAGGTGGTATCATTTCTTAGTGTATTTTGTAATTTTGAATTGTGACATCATTTTTAAAGGCATTTAACTGGGATTTAGTCCTGTGCCTGGGTTGAGTGCAGGTCAAGTGTTTTAAATTATGTGAACAACCTGGAACCAAATTTTATTTTGATTTTTTTATTTAAGTTTAATGATTCTGGGGGGGTACTTTTTATTTCTCTGAGGCTAGCAACAATTTAAAAGGTCTGCCTTTCCACTAACAGTATAGCCTTCAGTCATTTTATGTGTGACATTTTATTTCTATTCCTTGTGCTGCAAGGCCTCACATTCTGCTTCTGAGTGAAAGCATAAAAAACCTAGGTTACTGAGACAGACAGACCCCCATCCTAGCTATTTAACATCAGTTCACAATCTTAGTCTGATTTGTAAGGGGATTTATGTGCAAATCCATACAAGTTTTGCTGTACATTTAGAAGGATGATTATGTTTTTATTCAGTATGGTTTTTATGGTGAGAGAATGTTCAGATTGTTTAGTCTTCTATGTTTCCAGAAATTGAATTCTGTTTACTTGTCTTAACGATGAACTTCATGAGTATTGTGCCAATACCAACCTGGTTCACCACAGCTTCCTCAACACCTAGTCCTAGGTACATACTAGCCACTTAATAAGCATTTGTGGAATTAATGGAATTCTGTTAATTACAGAGATTAATAAAAGTGAAAAAGTAAAATGAACCCTGAATATCTAATAATAGGGGAATAGTTAAATGGTTACATCTGCTTAAAAGTAGATTGCTCTCACTCATGTAATGTTTTAAGCCAGAAATTAATGATTTAGAGGGCTATATTATTAATACTAAAATTAATGATGAAATGAAGGTTAAAAATGTAAATTTATAGTATGGTAACTTTAAAATGTGTATAGCAAAAAACTGCTAATAGTAACTGATGTTGGAGTGGTAGATTAAGGATCCCTTTTAAACATTTGTTTTCCAAATTTCCTGTTGTCTGATTTTAAAATGAAAACATTAAAAAGAGGGAAAGGTATATTAATATCCTTGGAAGTTTTTATGTTTAGATACACTAAAAGTTAACATAAAAATTTCAGAATTAGCTTTATTAAAATATTTGCAGACTTTTATATGAAAACACAGAAAAAGATCTTTCTGATACTCAGCGACACCTTGCTAAGAAAAAATATGAGCTACAACTTACTCAGGAGAAAATTATGTGCTTGGATGAAAAAATTGGTGAGTTTTTTTCCTTCTTATGTTACATTTATTTTTGCTTAAGACTAGTAGGAAAATACATTTTCTTTTCTTCAGTTATAATATAAATAAAGTTGGAAACAAGTACTTCACTTGAAAGTTTATGAATAAATTTTTTGTAATATAATTTTTTAACTTAGATTTAGGACCACAGATACTCGTTAATTATTTAAAATTTATCAGTAAAGAAAATAGCTAGACAAAGGGGCAACACTGTAAAATTATAATGATTACTTTTAAATTTATAATTTTTTGAATGATATTATAGCTTGTTCATAGCTATTGTAGTAAAACACAGTGCATCTATATTAGTTCTAGGAAAAGTATACATATGTTTGGCTGTGTCTGTGATATTGGGTTTATAGAGAAAATTACTTTTATGAAGTCTCCTAGTTTCTTACCAGTGATCTAATAAAATTTGGTCATAGCTTAATCTTCCTTTAAGGTAAAATTTTGTCAGGGCTATAAAAGAACCTATTTTAGAGCACAGGAAGTACTTTTAACATCTGCTATTTAGCCGGCGCTGCAACTCACTAGGCTAATCCTCCGCCTTGCGGCACCAGCACACCGGGTTCTAGTCCGGTCGGGGCGCCGGATTCTGTCCCGGTTGCCCCTCTTCCAGGCCAGCCCTCTGCTGTGGCCAGGGAGTGCAGTGGAGGATGGCCCAAGTGCTTGGGCCCTGCACCCCATGGGAGACCAGGAAAAGCACCTGGCTCCTGGCTCCTGCCATCGGATCAGCGCACCGCGCTGGCCGCAGCAGCCATTGGAGGGTGAACCAACGGCAAAGGAAGACCTTTCTCTCTGTCTCTTTCTCTCACTGTCCACTCTGCCTGTCAAAAAATAAAAAAATAAAAAATAAATTAAAAAAATCTGCTATTTAAGTTCAAAAATGTCTGACACAAATCATTAGGTAGATGGAATTGCTATTTATGAATACAGGAAATATCTTAAAAGGAATGTAAAAGTAATATCGAAGGAGAATTCTTTTTTTATATTTTAAATTTAAGTAAAAATGTAAGGTAAGCAGTTGAATATATAAGTTTGTGCTTCAGAAAATAAGTCCACACCAAAGATAACTCTTTGGGACACATAAGCATATAAATGATTTTTTTGCAGAAAATTTATATATTTGAAAGGCAGAACTACAGAGAGAGAGAGAGAGAGAAATCTTCCATCCACTGGTTCACTCCCCAAATGACCACAATAGCCAGGGGATAGGCCAGGCCAAAGCCAGGACTCAGGAGCCTCATCTAGGTTTCCCACGTGGGTACAGGAGTCCAAGCACTTGGGCCACCTTCTGCTGCTCTCCCAGGAGCATTAGCAGGGAGCTGGATCGGAAGTGGAGCAGCCGGGACACAAACTGGTGCCAATATAGCATGCAGGTGGAGGCTTAACCTTCTACACCACAACTCCGGCCCCTATATTTGATATTTTAAAACAATGAAATCACCTTGAGAAAATATAAAGAATGAGGAGAAGAGGATCCAGAACTGGGTAAGAAGAGACCAAAGACGTAGGAAGAAAACCCAGAAGTGAGTGTTTTGGAATGCAAGAAAGTATTTTACAGAGATAAATTGTCAGACACTTTTGAGAATGAAATAAGATGAGGGTACAGAAATATGGATTGTATTTAGCACATTGGAAGTTCAGATAAGAAACAAAAAAGGTTTGAATGGAGGGTTGGCTGTGGAAGATAGAGTGGATTGAGGAATGAATGGGAAATGAAATGGATACTGAAAGGAAGTTTGGCTATTAAAGGGTTGCAAGAAAATAGAGTGGTAGCTGGAGTGGAATGTGAGGTGGATTTTGTTTTTTAAATTGCCACTGCTAAGCTATTTTAGATTGCTAACAGGAATGAATTCAGATATAAGAACATCTGAAACATATATTTTATAATGAGGGCAGTATTGCCTGCAAAAAGAGATACGATGCACTGTCAAGTACTATTTAGAGCCTACTGTTGGCATTATGATTGTGATATTACTTCTTTTTTTTTTTTTAAACTTTTATTTAATGAATATAAATTTCCAAAGTACAGCTTATGGATTACAATGGCTTGCCCCCCATAACGTCCCTCCCACCCGCAACCCTCCCCTTTCCCACTCCCTTTCCCCTTCCATTCACATCAAGATTCATTTTTGATTCTCTTTATGTACAGAA